TCCAGCGTTTTTTGTTTGGTTGCGACGGTGCCCGGCACCGCCGCAATAGCCACCCTGCTGGTGCACGGGGGCCGTGCACTCCCGAGCAAAGTGACCGACTCTACCGCAACGGTAGCATCGCACATTGTTTCCCTGCGACTGCTGGGGTCCAGCAGTTGCAGCACTCGAGCGGTCCATGGGTTCTGGGCCTCCCGTCCTCACTACCGGGCGTGGCTGTGGCCTCGGCACATGTGCATGCAGCTTAGCCTGCCGCAGGCTAAACTCCTCCTGTATTGCAAGAGTAATTGCAGCTTCGAGAGTACTCGGGTACTCACGGAAGAGGTAGGTCTTCACAGGCCCATCTCTCAGTCCCTTCATGAACGTGACGACCTTGGTCGCCTCGTCGATCGGATTGGTCACGATGTTCGAGACCAAGTACCGTGCTCTCTGAGCGTAAGCATGGACATCATGCTTGCCCTGCTGCAGGTCGAGGAACTCCGCCCTCGACCGGAACTCGTTTTGCGGTGGCTCAAATGCTTGTCTGAGCTCTTTCTTGAAACGCTCCTACGTGCTTTAGCACGTAGGATCCGAGAGTCGGCGTCCATACGCCCAACTTCTTGCACGTCCGCCAAGACATGACATGGCGAACGCAACCTTCGACAACGGGTCGACGATACGTCGAGCCGCAATGGCAGTGTCGAGTTCAACAAGCCAACGGAGGAAAGGTTCACCCTCTCTTCCGACATAGTTGCTCACATTGAGCTTCAGCGATTGCGCGCGTGGTGTCGTCCCGGACGACACCGCGGTAGTAGCAGCAACATCGCGTTGCTCCTTCAGGATGAAACCCAGAGCAACACCGTGTTGCTCTGTCGGCGTTAGCGTACGCAGCATCGTAGCTACGCTACAGCCGCCTCACCAATGACTGTTGACAGTCGTTGAAGCGCCTCCCACTCTGGATCCGACAGGTGGGGACAGTCAGCGCGTGCAACGTGAGTTGCACGCGTAGTGGAGCTTTCCATGGGCATCTCTGTATCCATGGGAAGGTTCTCCGCTCCGCGTTCGTGCGGTGATGTACGAACTCAGGTAGTCGGTCGTTGGACGGACTACAAAGTGCTACCAGGTGTAATGGGCCTACTTTGCCTCACTACTTTAGCTTACACGTGTGCGCGTGTATGTGGGGAAGCGTAGCTTAGTTTAAATTAGAGTTAATTATACTCGGGCCTCCGAGTATAGATTAATCTAAATGAACGATCCAAATAATATTTTTGGGTTAAAATGAGAACTGCTATTTTTGTTTTATGTGTCTGACGTCCTCTAAATGTAATATTCTAAGATAGGAATCTGCCAACAGCTGGTTGGCAGAATTCCAATGCTATGCATGTCGCTCATTGGCTGAAAGATGCTGCTCTCAGCCAATAGGAATCCTAAGTCTCTATGGACCACCCGTCGTGGTGGTCGTAAATGTATGTAGCCTTTGGTATGTCTACACCAAGGTCGAGAAAGTCTTTCGAACCTCTAACAGACGTCGTATCTGTTAGAGTAACAAGTGACTGTAGCCACTTGTGCGTGTAACCCTGTTTCAAGATGGCTCTCATTCTTCGCAGAGTATAACTTCCGGGTTGAGTACAAACCCGGAAGACTCAATGTGGTGGCCGACGCGCTCTCGCGTCGACCTGACTACGCCACGACTGATGCCGACGTCAATGCTATTGACGCCATGCGATCGAGCACCCCAACGTCGTCACTGTTGGACGACGTGAAGGTCGCGTACGCGCACGACGCGGACGCGAAGCTCTTGCTGGCCTACGGCTCAGCGCCTTCTGACAAAGCTCGTCAGAAGCTGCCGAAGCATCTTCGTGCTCGTGCACACCGTTACCGGGTGCACGACGGGTTATTACTCTACAGTGCAGTCGACGACAACGCGGACCGCGTTGTCGTGCCCAATGACCATGACCTGCGACTTAGGATCATGTATGAGTATCACGATGCACCGACTGCGGGGCATCCGGGCCGTGAGAAGACATACCTTCTTCTCACGCGAGACTTCTACTGGGCCCACCAGTACAAATGGGTGCGCAAGTACGTCCGTGCTTGCGAGGTTTGTCAACGTGTGAAGCCTGCGCCTTTCGCGCAGGCTCCCTTACAGTCACTGCCGACTCCGTCGGAGTGTTGGCAGTCCATGTCTTTGGACTTCGCGTTCGGTCTTCCCCCGGACAGCCAGGGGAACACGGGCGTTGTGGTCTTTGTTGACCGCTTCAGCAAGATGTACCATCTTGCTGCGGTACCCGCTGACGTGACTGCGAAACAGACGGCACGTCTGTTCGTTGACATGGTGTTCAAACACCATGGCATGCCGATCGACATTGTGTCGGATCGAGACCCGCGCTTCACTGCGCACCTTTGGCAAGAAGTGTTTACACTTCTTGGGAGTCAACTTTTGATGTCGACTGCGGACCATCCGCAGACGGACGGGCAGACCGAGCGCGTGAACCGCGTGCTCGTAGACGTGCTTAAGAGCTACACCCACTCGTTCCAACACTGGAGCGAGTGCCTGCCGATGACGGAGTTCGCCATCAACAACTCGGTGCATGCCTCGACCGGGCATACACCCTTTTACGTGAATGCCATCAGGCACCCACGCCTCCCGAGTCTACTCGGGGTGGTGGCTCCTTCCTTAAGTGGGGGAGGATCTCCGACTGCAACACAGCAGCCGCAGAATGCCGCTGACACTTGCACAGTGTCAGCCGCAACGACACGAAGTAAAGCCAAGAACCGCGCGTCTGTGCAGGGCACAGGCGCCGAAAAGCTCACGAAGAACGTGTCTGTGCGGGGCACAGACACTGACAAGAGCAACAAGAAGAAGAGCGTGTCTGCGCAGGGGCACAGAAACCACGAAGACCAACGCAGAGGCAGGGCCTACTGCTGGAAGTGAGCTGAACGAGTTCAGCTCGGACGCAATTCACTTCGTACAGCGCAGACAAGCCGTCATTCGGTTTGTCCAGGACGCTATCGCAGCTTCTGTCGACCGACAGAAGCTGAACGCAGACAATGTTGGTAGGGGCAACACTAATGAATTCAAGAAGGGTTCATTGGTTTTGTTAGCTACGCAATACCTGCCTAAACATGCAGTTTCCGACTTCGAGGCGAGCAAGCTCGCTCCGCGCTTCATCGGGCCGTTCACTGTGTTGGCACGACATGGCAACGCCTACACGCTAGATATTCCATCTAGCATGCGCCTCCATCCGACCTTTTACGTCGGAAGGCTGAAGCCATACCGGCAGCACGAGCCACCTAGCTCGGCTGGCCCGAAGCGGAAGCCCCAGCGGGAGCGAACCTCTGCTCCAGCGCGCGAACGCGCTGGGCCAAGCGTGCGACGCGACCTCCCACGACGACAGAGATGTCCGACGCGGTCTGCGAACCCTGAGCGACTTGAGCCCTCAGGATCGCAACCTCCTGCTTCAGAGCGGCAAACTCCCGGCTCTGATGCTGTTCCACAGCAGCGACCTGCTCCTCGAGCGTCGGGCCAAGGCCAACCCCAGGTTGACCATACCCGGGGCGTGTTCCCACCACCGCCGCCTCCGATCCGCGACGCCCGCGGCTCAACACGCTGGATTGTTGAGCGTATTGTGAACCATAGTATCCCGGAAACGAACCGGCAGCCGGTTCGTTATCGTATGCGTTGGAGAGGGGTTTTGCCCCACCAAGATACATGGGAGCCGCGGGACGTCCTGCTGCAGGACGTTCCGGAAATGGTAAGAGCGTACGAAGCTCACCACGCACTGCCGACGCGAAGGTAGTGCGAGCGCTGTGGTCACCTACAGCGCCCGAAGCCCCACGATCGTCGCGTCCCTCGCGTGCCAAGAACTTGGCACGGAGATCCTTGCGACTCTCAGGTACACGAATCGTCGTGTACCCGTTTAGATCGCGGTCGCTCAAGCGCACCGCACCCGGAAGACACAACGTGCACTGATGGCCTTCGGGCACAGTGCACGGAATACCAGCGCCCACAGAGGATCTGTGGAGCTGCTCCTGTCGCCCGCGCGTCGAGAATGTCTTGAAGCGTTCACGGGCATGCTTAACCCGCTCACGGTAAGCAGCCGGCTTCTTGTTGAAGTTCTCAACAAAAGCATTCCAACTTTGCCAAAGTGCCTGCCACTCAGGCACTTTGCTGCGAGCAGAAGTCTTCTTGCTGGAGAAGTATCGGAGCTCGTGAGAGAGTCCGATATAGTAATCGCGCCATTGATTCGTTAACGGATCAAAGTGCTGGTCCTCCGCCACAGCATCATCGTGGATCCCGCTGCATACGTACAGCGGAATTTCATTTGGAGGCACGGTGTTGCCCAGACGGTCTGCGATCTCTGACGCAGACGGCATCCACGGATCGCGCGCTGCCTGAGCAGCGCGCGGAGAACTTGAAGACGCCTCCTCACGCGGGGAGCTTAAAGCCCCAGCAGCAGAGAGCGGAGTGTCGCTCTCGCCGCGCGAACGCTTCGAGCTCGAAGCGTCCGAGTCGTCTCCTTCACGAGGGCGTCTCGACCCGGCATGCGGGTCGAGACTATCGCTGTCGATAGACTCCTCGCGCTTGCTAGAAGAGGCCTCGCCCTCTTCCATCTCGACGTCGTCGTCCTCGAAGTCAACGGCGTCGTTGACTACAGTCGAGGAGAATCTCTGGCTGAGTTGTCCCCGCCGCAGCATTGGCAGCAAGAGCGTCACGCTTTGCTGGCGAGTGTTTCGTGTGCAATGTGGACTGAAAGTGAAGGCTGGAGTTTGGCAATTTCCGCTTCTCCGTTGGTTGGAGACCTGTTCGTGCATGTGGGGTTACGCAGTGTGGATTTCGCAACGAGATGAGTGATGTTGTATTTGCAGATTTTATCCACAAGTCATCCAACGTTACGCGCCTGCTACCATCGAGGACGATGGTAAATCTGGAGGAGGGGAGTAAGCGAATGGGTTTTCAGCGGACGTCGACAGACCCATCATCGGGCGCGTACTCAAGCACGAGGACCAAGCAGCCGTGACTCATGGCGGACGACGACTACCTGCTGACGAACGAAGTGTACGTAGTGGTGGACGTCAAGTACTCGATGAAGTACAAGCGCTCAGTGGTCGACAAGAACCCGATGATGGACGAGCTCTCGCTGACGGACAACTTGCTGGCGGATGAGTACTCGTTGGCGGACAACTACGCGCTGGTGAATAAGTACCCGATGGTGGCCAACTACCCGTTGACGGACAGCTACTCGCTGGTGGACGAGTACTAGTTTGTGGACAAGAACTGTAACAGGGTTACACGCACAAGTGGCTACAGTCACTTGTAACTCTAACAGATACGACGTCTGTTAGAGGTTCGAAAGACTTTCTCGACCTTGGTGTAGACATACCAAAGGCTACATACATTTACGACCACCACGACGGGTGGTCCATAGAGACTTAGGATTCCTATTGGCTGAGAGCAGCATCTTTCAGCCAATGAGCGACATGCATAGCATTGGAATTCTGCCAACCAGCTGTTGGCAGATTCCTATCTTAGAATATTACATTTAGAGGACGTCAGACACATAAAACAAAAATAGCAGTTCTCATTTTAACCCAAAAATATTATTTGGATCGTTCATTTAGATTAATCTATACTCGGAGGTCCGAGTATAATTAACTCTAATTTAAACTAAGCTACGCTTCCCCACATACACGCGCACACGTGTAAGCTAAAGTAGTGAGCCAAAGTAGGCCCATTACAAGAACTCAGCGGTGGACAAACACTCGTCGGTGGACAAGGTGAACAAGTACTTGGTGGCGGCGGACCAGTACACGGTGAGGAACTACGAGGACGGCACCTTCAGCTACGCGTACACCAACTACACACAACTGGATCCAGCGGATCTGGGTCCAGGCGACTGCTCAGTCTTAGATTTGCTCGGTGTTGGATTCGCGCTCTCGGACGAAGGCCGGAAGCAAACCAAGGACGCGGTGACGAAGCAGCAGACAGCCTGTGTCCAAGTAGAAGCAATCGCTAATAAAAGTTGGGGCTGCGCGAGTGGCTCCGGCGCAGGGACGTCAGTTGAGTCCCTACTGCCAGTGGTTGTTGACCTCTTTGTGCGTATGTATAGAGGACGACGCCTGTTGCTATACGACCATGGACGAGGCCCGAAGCAAGTACTGCGCGCGAAACCAGCGTCGCGTTCTATTCCCTTCGCACATTCCGGGACCAAGTAACGAACGCATCCGTGATTTCAATCCCCGCGTCGGCAGCTGTACCATTTACGAGGCGCCGATCCTTCATCGCAAGTGTTGTCCGAAACGAGAATGTTTTCAAATCTCCATGGACGATGCCGATCGAATGCATCTTCGCAATCCCTTGAGCAGCCTGCGCGAGAATGTCAAGGCCGATCTTGCAGCGGTTGGCCCCATCTCGTCGGAGAAACGTATCGAGTGGTCCCTTCTCGCAGTATTCCATCACGACGAAGGAAGTTGCTGTGAAATAGCAGGCATCATAGAAGCGGCAGATACTGTCGTAGCGGCTCCGTCGCTCCCACAGCTTCATTGTGCTGAAAAACTTATCTTTAGCTTCGACTGTCTTCTTGTTATAGATCTTGACTGCCACGGGGGTACCATCTTTGAGCACACCCCTTGTAGACTTTAGCATCCCCACCAAAGCCAATGGCAGTGGACATGTCGATGTCGACTTCGTCCTCCGTCATGTACCAGTCTGGGAGACTGCTGATGTCTGCTCGCGTGGATCGACTCCAGCTCGCCCACAGTTTTTCCTTCATAGCGCTGGCCACGCAATCCCTGCTTTCCAGGGAGTTCTGCATCATGACATCATTTCGACGACCCATGCGAGCGATAATTGCGAGAACCTCCTTCTGGTTCTCGGGATCGCTCATAGCATTTATGGCCTCGGAAGAGTCCACGAAATCCATGTAGCGTTTGTTTCGTTCCTCGATTGGAACTCCAGTCCGGTAGGTAGCACTTGCCTCAATAGAGCATTCGGTGGTGAGGCGCTCAAGCAGATTTTCCTTCGTCTTCTTCGCGTTGGCACTCGCGTTGTCCAGGTCCTGGTGAAATACGAGCTGCTTGAGGATGCTCTTCCTTGAAAACTTGTTCACGATACGCTCGTACTCGTTGACCTCCGTCTGGAACCTCGTGATCAGCTTCTGCAGCCCGTCCGTGAGTTGCTATTTATTCTTGACGCGTTTCAGCATGTCGAGCGCCCAGCTGAAGTCCTCCACGTCTTCGAGGATGTTCATCTGTTGGGTTTTGATTGTCGATGCCTTATCTTCCAACCCGCTCAGTACGTGGGCGACCAGGAAAATGATCTTGCCTTGTTGACAATAGCACCGGAGCCTGGGAGGACGACATTGGCAGTGATAACCGCAGCGCTCCGCGCCATATTCATCATCTTCGCTGTCCTTTACAAAGCCGATAAAGGTATTGAAGCTAGGTGTGGTGGCGTGGAACTGAGCTGTTCTCGACTGTTTTGTGGCGTCTGCTGGGCGGAAGACGGCAGTTGGCCAACTAAGTCTATATATTGACTGCGTGGCGGGCAAGCGCTACGTAGTCGCAAAGTCGCCGACGTGCAGTCTCAAAATGAAAACACAATTCGCCGGTTTCGTTTACAATGGGAGCTTTCAATGTGCGTCGTGCATCTTACACCCATGGATAGGCAAGCAAAAATATGGGGACGCAGACTTGTAACAACAGCCTGCTCCGCTCCACTATTAGACACAACGGCATTCAATATTTCTTGGGCGCTTCAACGTAATTCGCAGTTCGAAGAACTGTCGATTGGGGGAGGTTTTTGGATGACATCGAACGACATTCACGCTACATTCGTCACTTCACCCCCGTGCGGATGACATCAAACAATATTCACACAACATCATACAGCAATCGATCGAATCGGTCTGAATGACACTTACAGGTTTTGATGGATGCCTATTCTATTTTTCCCTTTTGATGTCAGATGCCATCAGAGGAAGTGGGGCTCCATCTACTACTTCGACGAACAACGTATTGTGTATTAGCGGACTACTACGACGAACAATGTATTGTGTACTAGCAAGCATTGTATTCTTTCGATCAATATGAGACATCGGTGCTAATGATGCTAACCCCTTGGACACAACTGGTGCCGCCACATCACTGCATCGTATTATACTACTGCACATGCAGCTTCAAAGCTCTCAACATAGTAAGTACTCATTCCATTAGCGGTAATATTATCGATTCGATCTGTTATGAGTCATAACTTATACCCTCCTCTTTCAGACACAGATTTTCTTCTGCATGCATTGTTTCTCAGAGAGATATTGAAAATCGTGTGGTCAGCTGAGTTTGCCGTGACATAAACTGTCGGCGGGCTGATATTGTATGAATCCCCACTCACTGGAATTAATCCGGATTGATTAGATAAAACATTCCACTAAAACATTGCAAAAAACTACTTAAAGTCCTAGGTTGTGCGATCCAAGATAGGAAGTATAGCTCGATTTTTTTCGTTCAACAATTGTTTTTTAATCCGAACCCAACTCTATCCGCCGCCAATGCGGTGAGGTCCTATATGGTGACGAACGAATTCATTCAGCGGAGACTCAAAAAGAGCTGCACCTGGTGGTACGTCTTCTCCGGAAAAAAAGGCTAAAGGCTAGCTGCACTAGCTTAGGCATTTATCTATGAAGACTAGGATGATTTAAGCTTGTCTTGTGTGAGACTACAATACGACCCGCAGAGATCCACCGAACTGGTGGTGTAGAATGATCTACTACTTGATCCTGTTCTTGTCAAAACAAGTTCAAAGTACATTGTTACCGATATTAGTTCAGATCCTAATGCTACATGCATACAGTACCTTCAGATTAATACTTGATAAATGGCAATATCACACTTGGACGAATCGAAGCTGACAGTTTTTTGTTGTTGTTTGATCTTCAGGCGACCTGGACAAAATATGTGTGCGGCTGCACCATGTTTTATCAAACAGAGTTTGAATGCTCCTACGTTGTCGCTGTACGCCGCGCATCCTGTGCGAGAGGAAGCACCGGGCGGACATCGTCAAAGCGAAGGACGAACACCCGGTGTACTTATCCTACTCCTAGACGCGATCGAAATCTGCTAGACCTCAGTTTTAACTCATCAAACTTGAAACAAATTGCTGGCTTCATCGGGTTATCCTGCAAGTTTGGTTGAGCAGTTATCCTGGCAGCGCTAATTATTCGAATGCACGTTTTTTTCTTGTTTTATCGTCACTGTAAGCTTCCGAGCACAACACTGCAATCTAAACAATAAAGGATTCTGCCTGGGCATCAGCGCACATTTCAGTAGCAGGAAGGGAGGAAATTACGTTGATTACCTCGCTGTTGATAACCGTTCTACTAACTACAAAGAACTAAAGTTAAAACTAAATCCGTCGAGTCCTCATTCGACGAGCAGGAGGAGGTAGAATCATCACGGTGGGTTTGTCAAACCCAATCGTTGAAGTACCAATTCGTTGGAGTGACGATACATGTATATGAACTGGCAATGCCTTTGAAAATAAGCGATCAAACTTTGTACACTTGGTTGTACTGTGGTAGATTAGGCAGATGCTGCGGCTGCGAAGCAGGCGCAGGGGATGCCCGAGTACATCGTTTCCCTGTAAGGGTCAAGCTAGCTTCGAACTGCGAAACCCCCCGGGTCCACCACCTGGGTCCCCAATAAATTCCGTTTTCAGATAACGCTGATCATAGGAAATGCCTCAAAACATGCCAACATACACACGCTCAGGCGTTCCAACGTCGTACGACTTGCCCGTGTAGCTCAGCAACCCTGTGTCGGCGTTAATCGCAAACGTGTGCATCGTGTCCGAATCTTGGTTAGCCACGACCATCCAGTCTCCGTAAACCACGAAGCTTTTGGGCGTCTTGCCACGACTGCTTTCCCAGCCGAGCGATGTCAACGGTCCATCCGTCTCGTCGACCGCAAACATCGCAATCGAGTTGTGGCCACGGTTCGAAGCGTACAGGAACTTGCCGTTATTGGACAAATGCACGTCCGCAGCAGTGCTGGTGTTGGTGAAATCCGCTGGAAGCGTCGTGATGTTCTGGACAGCCAGACTCGACAAAGTGTTAGTTTCCTTGTCGATCTTGTACACACCGACAGTGTTGGAGATCTCGTCCACCACGTACGCAAAGTTGCCGTCGGGGTGGAGAGCCATGTGCCGAGGTCCGGATCCCGGAGGGCGCTTGACTGCACCGATGCTCTTGAGTGTCTTCTTCGTCACGTCTAGATCGTATTGCAACAGCTCGTCACTGCCCAGGTTGGCTGCGACGACGTGGTTCGAGTTGGGTAGCCACATGGAGCTGTGGATGTGGCCCGTGGCTTGCTGGTCCATGACGACTTCACTGCCGGTGGGGAATTCTTGGTGGAAGCTTTCATTGGCGAGCGAGCCGTCGTCGTTCAGTGGGAACATGGAGAGGCTGCCGTCATAGTTAGAGACAACCAGGAAGTCTTCGCTGGGGTTCAGCGAGATGTGCGTCGGGTTACCACCGTGCGACTCCAACGTGTTGAGAAGTTCGAGTGTACCGTTGGATCGCAGAGTTAACGCTGACACGTATCCAGTCTGAGTCCCTGGGTACTTCTTGGACGCGTCGGTAACCGCGTTGACAGTGTAGAGCACAGGTTTACCACCGGAAAACTTCTTGGTCGATCCCTGGACGTAGACTGGATTGACACCCACCGATGTGATCCCGAACGGAGTCAACGACCCGTCGGTCGTGTCGAATTTGTACGTGTAGACGCCCTTGCCACTTCCGACCATCCAGCCTTCGTCGCGGGTGTGTGTAGCCGCGAAGAGAATCGGCTGTGCTGAGCTTTGGCTAAGCGTTTCAGCCAGGCCTGTGCTGACAACTGTAGCGAGTGCTGCGAGGCCGAGTAGGATTCTGGGAGCGTGCATTAATGTCGGAGTGGATCGGAGATCTGGGTGCTTTCGGCTTTAGACGGTGAAAGGAGAAGTGGTGGGGTGCATCCAAATTATGTTTCGGCTGGTCTCGCGGGCACCATCAGCAGATTTGGTTCGCCGTCGCTTGTGCAGGTAAACAGCAAAACGTTATTGGGACTCGGCTGTGATTGGGTCACGATATTGGTGACCGAATTTCTACGTGATTGCAAAGTTACGCTTTGCAAGGCGACCCGGTCAATATACGGTATGTATTGTGCTTTGCAATGATTTTGGCAATATGAGGCGAGATTTGCTGTATTTATAGCGACCACCTGCTAGATTTACGATAAATCGAGGTGCATAAATGGGTGGAGGCCTAGAATTACGCTAAAAGCGCCACAATTGCACTTTTGAAAGTGCAATTGTTGTTGTGCAGCTGCAATTCTGTCGGTTTTTATCCACAAGCACCTACACACGGCAATTATGCATAAGAGGGTGGATGTGCTGGGATCATGGACGGTGGTGTACTGGGCCAATGCATGGCTGCTGACAGGCCCTCCCAAGTCGATATATATATATGAGGAGGTGGATTTATGCATAATTTTAGCAGGTCGTGTATCTTCTTTCACACATATTTAGGAGCAGGCTTTGCCATATTTAGCGTCTAAAATGGTCGGCAAAATAACTGCAAAGCACAATATACAGTATTTTATATTTAGGAGTTTTCTTGCATGTACGGTATAATTTATACTGGGTAGGAAGCGACGAAGTGCTGATAGCCCAGCCCAAACAGGATTAATTCGGGCGCGTCCAATCGACACCGGTGATGAACCGGTAACGTCTTTAGGTCAATTTACAGTAAGTGATGTCTATTGACCGAGTGTTTTAGACTTCTCAAGAATGATGGAGGCTGGTCCAGTTCATTTGCAAATTCGTCGAGTTAGATTCGTCATTGATTTTGCTCTGAAATCGGTTGTACGTCGTGACCATAGTGACGATACATTGTCGGGCAGATTCTGCGGCTGCGAAGCAGGCGCAGGAGATGCCCGTGCAGCGTGCGGATTGAGTTTATCAATGGCGATCAAAGGTTAGTTAACCAATCCTATCCCAGCCTTCGCGAAGCCCTAGTACCGTACATGTAAGAAAACTCCTAAATTCTCGGATCATGCTATCCCGGGTGCCGTAAGATGTTCATACTTGATGCCTGGTTAGGTACTGTAGTGTATCAATTGGGCTTCACCGTTGTTATTTACGGTACCGGACCAGATGAAGATCTGTTGCAGTACGGTTCTTCCCGCCCAGATGGAGACAGCACGGATTCATCGTTTCCCCACTGCATTGCTCCTGCTCAGATAGTAAGGAATAAGTTTGGAGTTGTGTGTGTAAGGAGTGAAGAGGAAATAAGTTGAAGTTCTCGAGAAACTGCAGCACATTGCAGTCACGTGCAGGTGTCACAGACATCATGAAGTGGTTGATATGCTTGAGATGATAAAGCTTCATCACACGTAGCTTCTTCTTCTTCTTCAACCCCTGGTGTCGTACCAACCTAGGTACTTCGCAAAGCAAGATGGAATCGAGAACCATAATCTTGTCATCCATATTAGCGGTTCTAAGCCTAATGTTTTCTATCCCAATCGATCGCTCATTCATTCTTCAGAAATCCCGCCTGCGCTCTCTGGTTCTCTGGTCCTTCGATAGCACAATAAACCTCCGCTCATTTGGAGCCATGACCCTCTTGACTCTATCAACGGTGAACGCGGTTGCGATTAACTTTGAGACGGTGAAACCATTCACTCACCCGAACCAAGTACGATTTCCGAAAAGGCCGCCGTCAAATTCAAGCCCCAACTTCGCATCTCTGACGGCTGCAATTCTTACGCTGCTGTCAACGCTGCTGGCGACACTAGCGGCGGCATTTCTCTGGGTGACGACTCTGATTGTGATGGTTCGAATCTCGGATCTCAAGTGTACGGGCGCTCGGCCTGGTACATTGATATGTGGGGGATCATGTACGCTTGGTACTTCCCGTAGGACGACACTGACGCCCGTCCGTACCGTCAGCACAGCTGGGAGAACATCGTCGTGTGGATCGATAACCCTGCCGTCGAGAGTCCGACAGTCCTCGGGGTGTCGGTCTCGCAAGGCGGTGGATACGCTCGATACGCCCCGCCGTATAAACGTAACATGGACGGCGACAGTCCCAAGATCAAGTACTACCTGGATCCTGAAGCGAAGGATTACCACTGGTTGGAAGTCGCCTTCTTCCACGGCGACTTCCAGGACCTCATCATGTGGAGCCAACTGACTGAAGAAGCCCGCACTGCTCTTCAAGGAAAGAACTTCGGGAATGCGTGGGTGGGTGCCTTTCAGTGACGGCAACTTCACCGATAATCTGGCAATGGCGTGGCCGGCCATCCCTGGACGCAAAGGAGCTGAGAATCACTACCAGTAGTAACAGTAGATGTATCCTTGCTGTCCGAAGGATCCCGTAATGAAATTCATACGAGGTCCATGCATATCACTGAAGGAAATGAATGCAACGATTAGCCCTAACTTGGGCTGTACCTTATTATCGGAACGTGAAGCATCTCAGTACCAAAAGTGAAGCTGAAATCGACAAAATTTAAGTAAAGTATGCACGCAACAGCAATTGCAGCTTCATTTATGAATGTACTTCGTCAAACCGACCGAGTAGATACCTTCGTACTCAAGCGTCTAATACTCCGCAACGTAAAGGCTCACAGCGCCGTCAATCTTGTACGAGTTGCCAGTGTACGTGAGTGCACCAGTGTTGGCGTTCACCTTGAAGACGTACATGTCGTCCGATCCCTGGTTGGCAACGATGAGCCAGTCCTTGTAGATCACGAAGCCGCGGGGAGTGACACCGCGCGAGCTCTCCCAGTTCAGAGCCTTGAGCGTGCCGTCGGCGTTAATCTGGTACGACACAATCGAGTTGTGTCCGCGGTTCGACACGTACACGAACTTTCCGTTGCTCGAGAGGTGGATGTCGGAAGCCGTGCTAGTGTTCTTGAAGCCGGCGGGAAGCGTCGTGACCTCCTGCAGAGTCTTGCTCGAGAGAACAGCCCCCTTCGTGTCGATCTTGTAGACGCCGACAGTGTTCGAGAGCTCGTTCGTGACGTACGCGATGTTTCCGTTCGGGTGGAGCGCCATGTGACGGGGCCCAGAGCCAGCGGGGCGCTGGACGGTCGGCAGCTTCTTCAGCGTCTTCTTGGTCGCGTCGAGCTCGTACTGCAGCAGCTCGTCTCCGCCCAGGTTGGCAGCAATAACGTGGTTCGAGTTGGGCAGCCACGTGGTGCTGTGGATGTGGCCCGTAGCCTGGTTGTCCATGATAACCTTGCTGCCGACAGGGAAGTCCTGGTAGAACGTCTCAGCTCCGACCGAGCCGTCAGCGTTGAGCGGGAAGAGCGACACGCTGCCGACGTAGTTGGCGACAGAGACGAAGTCCTCCTTGGGGCTGAGCGCGACGTGGGCGGGAGATGCGCCCTTCATCACCTGCGAGTTGATGACCTTCAGCGTACCGTTCGACTGCAGGGTCATGGCCGACACGTAGCCGGTAGTGGAGCCGCGGTTAAGCGCATAGATAACACGCTCGCCGTTCGAGAACTTCTTGTTGGAGCCCTGGACGTACGTGGGGTTGAGGCCCTTGGCAGCGAAGCTCAGAGGCGTGATGCCGTACGGGGTCAGGGTGCCGTCGGCCGGGTTGAGCTTGAACGTGTTGATGCCGTTGGTGGTCTCCTTGGTCCACGTAGCCGCGAACAGAATCGGCTGACCGGCAGACTGGGTCGCAACAGCGGAAGCACCGGCCACGGCGGCCACGAGGCAGAGGAGGAGGCTAGGAAGACGCATTATGTAGTTGGTCGGTTCGGCGGTGCTGGGCTCTACTCGTCGAATAGAAATGTGGTCGTCTCGGTCACGGAAAGGGTCCTGCTCATTGCTGCGGCCTTGGACTGTACGTCGAAGAGGATGACGGAGCCCTACGGCGGCGACGGGGCAGAGCACATCCAGTGATTAGCAGTTGCCGCTCGTTCTATTGGAGTTTGAGGCAGACAAGAGCATGCCGCCAGAGTTGTCGTGAGACCGTCGGTCTCACGCCAGCCGGCATGACTGCAGTGCCAAATGGCGACAACACTGTTGACATTTGTGCCAACTTGGCACTTTAGGAGCATGAATTTTACAGCGGGAGAGTCAACTTTATCATATTTTAGTTTCGTTTTAGTATGTTCGAACTTCAAGACAACACTTCGCAGTAATGTTCAATTTAACGTTACTTTGAGTCTTTTTCCGCTCTTTCTGTCTCGGTAAACATCACTTTAGTTGATCCCAGCCGCTGCACTGGAACTTCGACACAACAACGTCGACGGAACACTGCGAAAACGTACAGTGTTTTGGCCATACACTTTGTACATGTACTGTACTTGGCTGTGCTGATTCCTATGCTCGATGACAAACAAACGCTAGGTCGTCGAAGGATTTGGTGGACGCACCGGTATTTGCGCCGTAGACACACTCGTCGAGTACATTCATGGCAACCAGCACCGCTCACCCATGAAGTTGGTTCGACACTGAGAAGCGTTGGCATCTTGCAACCACCTTTGTCATGACAGGTATGTACCTACTTATCCATTAGCAGGTGTCAACCCAGCAGACTTACCAAAATGTTTTTTCCTGCCACATGTGTCCGACGATTGAGTCAGAAAAGAAAGCAGAGCGGCGGCTTAGATACATGTAGACAGGAGAGAACTCCTGGAACATTTCTTGTACATGGAACAAGGAAAAGCTTGAAAAATCTTGATAAAGCTGGATAGATTACGGATAGATTACCCGGCAAATGTTCCACCGGTGGAACAATGCGACCCTTCATTTTTTTCATTGAAACCTATTTTTGGATCAACAGGATTTCATACGTGTTTTTGCTATTTTTTGTTCAAAAACTGCTACCTTGTCCAGCTTCTAAAGTTCTCTAGGGTCAACAAGGTTACCTTGTTGGCCCTGTCTAAAATCTTGTCAAGGTTTACTTCGAGAAGTGAGCTGCACTGGCCGAACCAGTCGATGGATAAGGCAGACTGACTACTGCAATTGTTTCAAAACAATAATAGGAGTCGTCAATGCTCGCAGCAACTAAAAGATTTTTTTCTGGCCAAGGACACGACGAACAAGTCCGAGCCAACGAGGGACTTGCCGGCGAGGACTTGAAGGCTTGTCGAACAACACGAGCCGAGTATGATTTCATATATTTCTGTACACAATGTATTTAAGTCATCTTACCAAATACCTTAGCTTTCCTGCCTCTCGCCTGCCGAACGGTGTTACGGCAACATGATTACGACAAGACGACAGCTCTTACGTCACCATAGCAAGGGTTTTTTCCACATAGCAAACACCACACCAAGCAACGTAGAGGTTGTAAGGTATGGTGCTTGCTATGTAAAACTGGGTTTGCGGTAATCTATCTGCGATTAATTACGGAAACTGCAAAAGTTACCGAGCGCACTCCAGAATATCCCAGTAGACATCCAGAATCAAAGCGGCTGTTGGTGCACACTAAGCGTGAAAGAATATGGAACCAGGCGACCTTAACAGCGATGCTCTGCCGGCCTCACCGCTACCGGCCACGACCGACCCAGGCACGCGTCTATCGCGGGCTCACAGGGCGAAGGTTTGCAAGGGTCTGTTGATGTCTAGGCTCAAGGCAATTCAGGCTATGGAAGACAGACTGGACAAGATCGCCAAGTACTCGTTCAAGCATTTAAACGAGCGTGACGAGTAGGCTACAATGCTCGCCAACGAGAAGAAGGAAGCTGTCCGTCTCGCAACGGTGCGTGGGGTGTCTGTGCGTGAAACCGGCTTCGTGGTGTCGTACGACGTAATGCTGCAACCGTGTGTCGAGGCTCTACTCGAGCAAGACTAGACCAATATTTCGCGCGTGTTGTGAACATGAAGAAAGCATCAAGCCGATAACAAATAAAACTGCTTTGAGGTCACAATTGACCTATATTCAAGTCTTTACGGTTGCCATCAACTCGAGGTCGGTTGCATCTACGGTCTTTGCTACTTGGTTCGCGATTGTACTCACTTCAGGCAGGTTGCATCAGTATCATCCACATAATACGTAGTCGCATGACGGCAACGTCATCGGCTGAAACTGTGGCCTTGGTAAATCGGAAGTTATCCTTCAGCATGCAATACACCTGGGCTATCACCATAACGCCGCACGACGTTCCATCGGGCTGTCTAGGCGCATCCAGCCACACACCATTCTCCACAACAGGATATTCCACTCCAATCATTGTCTTCTTGTGCCCGCCCAGCAGAAATGGCGCTACCGTCTCTTCGTAGGTATCTTCGATAGTCGCTCGATATTGCGGATCACACAGCGGCTCGTAGAACTAGGGTGGGATTGACGGTGGTTCAGCCTGGTACGTGATACTGTCAATGATGACACCCCAGTGTATGTTGCTAAGATAAACTGGCAAAACAACATAATACATGCTCGCAATGCGGGTCTGGGTCGGGTTCAGGGCAGCAAAACGTAGCTGCATACGTATCCAACGCGTAGCAATCTCCGAGCGCGTCACAGATACACCTGACAGCGAATTCAATTATCCTATCAGACAGCATCTCCTTGCGAGCAAGCATCCCAACCAATCTGTCCAGCTTTACAGTGCCTGCGCCGCTTGCCAATCGGAATGTGGAGCTCAGAGAAGCTCCTTCAAGCTGCTGCAGCACTTCGTTTGCCAGAGCCGCGTGCTGGGCCCATGTGGTGTCATCTGTGAGCTCGTCCGAGTCCGTTTCCACGTCGAAAAGCTCAGGATTGACCGTCATTGCGTTCCATTTAGTCGACAGTAGGCAATGTACATCATCCTTCTCACGCATCAAGCTTGCGGACAACGTTGTAAAACTCGTTGATCCTGTTCACTGCGGCGCTGAGCAGTACCAAACTTCAACAAAAAGCATAACAACATAACAGGCAACATTTTGAGCACCGCATAATACAACATAATGAGCAACTTGGTGACTACAAACCTGGTGAACGGCGGGGTTCCACCGGGGAAGTAGGTGATTATCTCCTCGGTAGTGCCCTCCGGATGATTGTCGTCCGCGGTTTGGTTGAAGTACTTGGAATTTGATCGCTTCTTCTTCTCCGCTTTGACAACGGCTTCCAACTTGACGACGAGATTATTTGGAATCACGAAGTTGCAGTCATAGTCGTCAGCGTAGACGTGACGCGTTTGCTGTGAGCGACGCGCGAGTTCATGAAGCCGTCGTCCATGATTGTTGGGTGGTTCGCTAGGATTCCGCTGACATGGTTGCGGTCAATTGTGAAAAGGCTCGGTGGATTTCGCCACCGAACCCATGTCCAGCTGACCCGTATCAATCCAGGATGCTGACCCGTATCAATCAAGCAGACTTCAAGTGCGTCATGGCCGCGATGGATCTGGATCACCAACTGTCGGACACGAGCCGTGCGACGAAGGAAGCTGAGCCCGAGGTCTGGGCGGAGCTCCGCTCAGCCTCTGGGTTTGAGCAAAGATCGTCTGAGACCCGAGATGTCTGGTGTTGGATATCCCAAGCCTGAGCTGAGTCCAGGAAGCAGAGAGAAGCTACGCGGAATTTGAGCTGAACCTCGAGTGTGATGACTATAGTCCCCGCTCGGGTCGAGGAGCTGAGCGGAGCTGGGTGGAGTTTGAGCTCAACCTCCCCAGCGGTGGTGGGGCCATCTCCAAGATGCCGAGATGAGTCGAGGAGCAGGCGTCCGAGCGAGGTCGTGCCGAGCCCGAGCCCGAGCCCGGTTTCTACTGTGATCATGGGACCTTCACCCAAGTCGACGAGCTGGGCGAGGATCGAAGGTCTGAGCGGAGTGACGTGGAGTCCAAGCCCGGCCTCGAATACGATGTTCAAAATCTTTGCTCAAGTCGAGAAGCCGAGCGGAGTGTTGCAGACCTGAGCGGAGTTGTCGGAGTCCAGTTGAAGTGCCGGGTGAAGAGTCGCTGAACTTAAGTCCAGACAGTGGTACTGACGGCGAAGTTGGTGGCACCGGTGAGTACACTCATCCGGTGAATCAGCCATGAGCCAGCCTACATTGGGTGCGACTGCTCAAGATCGCGGACACTTCAAGCGGATCTCAACGGCCTCCAGCGGCTCCGAGAGACGACGCTCGCCGACGTGGAGCCGCCGCATTGGCCAAGACCAAGGATATCGGGCGGATCTTCAAGGGCGCCCGGTAAGCATACAGCCGACGCTCTTCGCGCAGCCAGTCAGTGTGTACCCAGGGGAATATTGCGCCCCCACTTAGTGAGTCCTAGTTTGTGCATGTGTAAACATTTAAACAGAGTTCGTTTTGCCCCGAAGGACGCAAGTGGTGGAGGTCTTTGGCCAGAAGGTGTCTTGGCGATCATCCACACAAACTCAAGCTAACATATCAACGTTGTCAGAGTGCTTCGGTGCGACGGCAGTACGGTTATTTCATATTACTGTTACATCTTAGGGTGTATTTCATATTTTCGGGTGGAAGGTGATCCACTCTGAGGTTTAGGCAGGGTAATTGTATTGTGTGCTTGGGGATATTGGCGTGCCCCGGTGCATTGTGTGATTATTAGTATCGGTTCATGGTGGACCTGGTGCGCGGGTAGTCCCAGGGTGTGTGTGAGTGCCTTGGATTCGGACTAGGCTCAAACCGAGTCACTAACTCCAGACCGGGTCGTTGCTTGACTCGAAGAGAAGAAAGGAGAAGCTGGTACGAGCCTCGCCCAGGCTCAGAGAAATAAAGGCGAACTCGGCCCAGACCCAGGCCGACCGGGAAAGAAGGGGTATTGTGGTTCTGAGCCGGAACCAAAGAGAGGAAGTGGATGCTATATTGTGTGTGGTGTTGTGTTCATTAAGGAAAACCCGGGGCATTTCGGGCTGTGGACACGTGCGGACTGGGACTCGCCAAGTGGGGAGCGAGTTTCGCCTGGGAACACCTCCGGAGACCTTCAACATCGACAGCAGCTGGTGTGGCCGACGCGAGTCTGGGCCCACAGCGTAGCCGTGATCAAAAGAACCGCCAAGGGGATCGCAGAGTGAGGAACACACGCCTCGCCCGACCCGAGTCGGAGCTGAGCCAAGCGTTCAAGCGGCTAAGCCTAGCGAAGTGGAGTGGGAGTGTTCGCTCAGTGGAAGGAGCTGAGCGGAACTCTTGCAGCGCTAAGCAGGGCTGAGCCAAGTGGGGCAAGGGCTGAGCGAAGACCAAGGTCGAGCGGTCTAGCAACCTGAGCCTTAAAAAAGCACGGGCGCTTCGTCACACAATAGTGATGTTTGCCCACTCTAAACACGCGATGTAGGGGGAAACCTGTCTGGATTAAGTTCCTATGGTTCCTCTCTGATGTCTATGACTGACTACATGGTTGGGACTGGGACGCACATGCCCATGTCGACGGCGGCGGTGATGCGAGGCTCAGCTACGACGATGTCCCGCAGCTCATTCCCGGGAATAATGATCTCTGTCACACCTCAGCTTACTCAGGATGGTCCCGTACCGACCAGAGCTGAGCAGAGGCCGTATCAACCTGAGCATCCAGCCCAGATACCACTGCCAGGCAGTCCTGACTCCAAGCGTCCAGCCCAGAAGCAAGCTGAGACCCGACAAGTGCAGTCCACGGGATTCCGGTTCACGCATCGGTTATCGGCTTCGCTGGGACGACGACTTCGGGTGCCCTCAGTCGAGCGAGACTACCGGCGAGCCTTTCAGCAGAGTGAAGCTACGGCCTGGGCACGCCTTGATGCAGAGCAGAACCAACGCCGAGCTCTCGAAGCTCGATTGAGTGCCGCTCTGGCCGAAAACCAGGTGGAGCAAGCTCGACTGCAGGATGAGTACCAGAAACTTCAGGCGACCAACGTTCGGATGTCCGAAGCCCAACAACAGGCCAAGACGGAGCAGCAGAAGCAGCTTGAAGCCTTGGAGAAGCTGGCCCAGCGCCGCGCCGCCGAAGAAGCTGAGAAGCGCAAGGCGGACGAGGTTCGAGCTCAGGAACTGCTCCAAGTCCAGAAGGCGCTCCAAGAGGCTGAGGTTAGGGCTATGCAAGCTGAACAGCGGAAGGTGCAGGAAGAACAAGCTGCCGAAATCAAGACTGAGCACGAGCTGGAACTGGTGAGGCTGAGAGAGAAGCATGCGCAGGCAGAAGCAGAGCACCAGCGGGTCATGCAGGAGCAGGAGGAGAAGACTCGCCAGCTCCTTGCAGCCCAGGAGCAGCCCGGTCTATACCCTGGCCCCGTCACTTCGACTGCTGGACGTGTGCCCATACCAGCGGACCCCCCCCCCGGTCCCAGCACCTGTCGTGACGGCTCGATCGCCAACCGATCCGGTCCTGGCGCAGTTAGCCCAGCTCACGAGCGTGATGCAGCAGTTGGTCCAAGCCAACCAAGTCAAGTCTGAGGTGACTGGTATGAGCCGCAGTGCTGGCAAGACCCAAGGCTCGGCCAAGCGAGCTGAGACCAAGTCTAAGCCTCGCGCATCAAGCGCGACGTCTGGCGCGAAGGGCAAAGCTCGGGCGACCAAGCCTGGCAGGCCCAGAGACTCGGATGGGGACGACTCAAGATCAAGGGATTCGTCGCAAGATGAGCTTGAAGGACAGTTTGGTGCTGTGGCGCAGCCCAAGGGGACTGATACCAGTTCCGGAACTCGTGTGGTCGTTCAAGCGATGATTCCCCATGATGCTTTGGAGAAGTTTGACGAAAAGGGACCGCTGGAGGACCGAGTCAACTCGTGGGAGAGGTTCATGTACTACGCTACGATGGCCCCCTGGGACGAGAAGACCCGGGTGGTCCAGCTACGCATGAGACTCACTGGTTCCCTCAAGGACTGGAGCACTCGGCTGCAAGATGACGTTCGCTCGGACTGGAAGAAGCTGTCTCACGTTTTCAAGAAGGAATGGTGCCGTACGCTGAGCTCCAAGGCTGAGCGGTACTACTCGATGGAGATGAAGGACTCCGATACACCTCGGATGGCCTTCTACCGTCTGAACCATGCCGCCAAGAAGGCTGGGATCCCGTATCTGAGACCGACCGTCGATCGCGAGGCTCACATTCGACGTTTTATCAAGGCTTTGACTGACTCAAGGCTGAGGACTACTCTTCAGGGACAGCGTTTTGATACTTTGGATGAATTGGAGAAAACCCTGAAGAGAATTGAGGCTCTCCACCAAGACGAGAGCTATGAGCAGAAGCGGCGCCCAGCGCAAGGACTTCAGTTTGGATGTTCCAAACCTCCACAGCGTCGAGCTGAGGGACGCGCGTTCAAGGCGGAAGGTGTGGAAGTTGACCCAAGTCTGGGACGACATGCACACTTCCAGGATGACTACGACCTGAAGTACGAGGCTGATTCTGAAGAAGATGTGGACCGCTCGGCTGAGCGAACTGTGTCTCCGCCTGTCCCCGCGCCAGCTCCTGCTGCTGCAAGCTCAGCTCAGGCTGAGCCCAGTCGCTCTACCTCCCTGACCGATGAAGAAATTTTCCGAGTCGCTGAGCGATTGGCCTGGAAGCCGAACGCTCAGCGCTATGGCCGAGGAGGAGACCAGCACCCAGAGCAGAAATGTGACGAATGTGGCAGTCGTAACCACCCGACTGACAAGTGCTGGAGCCGACTTATCTGTGGGCGATGCCACGATGAGGGTCACCCGACCCAATTCTGTAGGCGTCAGCCGTGTTCCAAGTGTGGCGAATACCATCGCCGGGGTTTGTGCGATATGTGGTCGGCGCTCAAGGCGGTACGCGAAGCAATCCGTACTGGAGGCTCGGTCGAGGGCCTCGCTCCTGAGGTAATCCAAGCTCTGTTGGATAGCCCGGAGCTCCGAGAGAAGTCGTTAAACCACTAGGCTCGCTGGTTGGGAGACCAGTGCGTGACGAGCCTAGATCCCAAGCGCTCTGTGTCTTTGCATATGTGGGCCCAGCCCTTCCATGTTGGCGCAGAGATAACCCCGAATGTACAACTTGCTATCATGAAGCTGGTGTTTACACTTTCGATACTGACCTCAACACACTGGACCCGGAGGACGAGATGGAGAACCATCTTGAGTTTGCTCTGACTCCGGGCGAGAAGTATGGTTGGTGGAGTGAACACACACTGACTGGCGAGAAGCGGAAGATGGCGATGGTGCACGGAGCAATCTTTCATCACCGAACGCAGATACTACTGGATACTGGAGCTACGACAAGGACTTTGGGCTTGGATCTTGCACACAGATTGAAGCTCAAGCTACGCCGTGGTTTCAGGCTCAGAGTAACTGGGATGGGAGA